AGATATTTCGTCCGGTTCTCGTTTACCCAAATGCTTCGCTTCCTTAGCCAGTATGGAGAAAGCAGAACTAACGGCGTATTATGGCCAATGATATTGATGTCATCGGCGTTCACCAGCAGTGGTACACTCTTATGGAAAATTGTACCTTCTCTATTTAGATCTTCAACTCGAATTATTTTCTGCTAGGAGAGGAGATCTTGACACGGCCTTTGGCAGTGCTCAATCTCAGTTTGCACAGCTGCATTAACTTTGTGGGGATACCATCAGACATAGCGGCATAGAGGCAGCTCCCTTTCGCTTTAAAATCGACGACGAGGAGGTGTGTATCCATCTTCCTTTAACGGGTATTTTCCAAGCTTTGGTGCATGGTAAAAATCTACGTAAAAATAACGCTCGATAAGACAATATACGCGATATTAAAGATACTTATCTCACGGTAGTTGGCGCTGATGGTATGATGCATTTTTTTTGTGTGGATTGGGCAGAACATGCTTTGATTGGTTCCAATAATCGGGCATGTTTTCATCCCACCATATTTTGCAAGCTGCTGAATGCACTTTGCCAGTTCTGCCCCTTATTTGAATAGTTCGGCCGGCAATCTATCGGCCGCTGCCACTTTGTAATTTTAAACCTCATCATAGTCGGACAATGGAAGATCAATTATGGAATCTGCTCAGCCATCTTCGGATGTTACACTTTCACTGCCGTTCAGCAGGCTGAAGAAGGGTTCCCTCCATAACTTCAGTATGCTCTGAACATCAGCCACCATATCACCTCTTTGGGTCCTACAAGAGTATACTCCGGTTACCCGTCCGCAAGCTTCTAAAACTTTTCATACTCACGCATTTCTCCTCTTACTTCTTTTTCGCTGTCTACATCTATCCTCACCCCTCGTGTTGTTGTAATCGATCGCAACGACGATAAGCTATCCATTTTCTGGCCACTGGATGTGTAACAGCTGTTCTTTCGATGAAAACTAATAGTTTCGCTTGCTTTCCTTTGGTACTACTGAAAACTGTATTTCGGGCTCATGCGAAGTGTGATCGCCTCAACTAATTTGGAGAGGTTTCGTATTGAAGCTAAATTTTCCAACTGTTGGCCACCCCGGCATGGAAATCATCAAGCTCAATTTTTTCATAGTAGCGCGCTACAGGCATCTTCGGTAATATCGTCCTTGAAAAATTTTGCTCTGATGCGGATTGTGGCTAGACGCTGATTCAACGGAGTGAATGCCAGGACTATACTGTGTATCTCTCCCACCATAAATCTCACACTGTCGCATTTCTTTGGCGGCGGTGAAGGCGGTTAAATTTGATGTCCTCCTAAAAGTAAAGGGTAATACTTGTATCAAGCCAATGAATTTGAAATAATTTAAGCAAAAACAGAAATAAATATATAACTAGTATGTAGGGCCTAAGTTTTGGTGTAACCGAACATATTATAGTTTCGCAACTTTCAAGGTCAAAAGGTCAGTTGTTGGCAATGTTAAAAGATGTAGCGAAAATGTTCAACTTCATTGCTCAGCGAAATCGTGAATGGTTATAAATAACATGTAATGAAGGGTTATTTTCGCGTGTAATCGAATATTTCATACTCTTGTTACATGCTACGCCAGGGAAATATTTTCCTGTGTATTAGGTTTGTGAGTTAAATGTTAAATATTTCATCCCATTTTATCAATTTTAGATACAAAAATGACTCGTTRTTAAAAAAAGCACGCTTTATCAATTTAATTAAGATAAATTACATATTTGGCGATATATACGGTAGAAAGCCGACTGAAAGTTCGAAAATCTTTATTTTAGGTATCTGTGGAATGAGAGAATTATTGATCCGATTCGACCCATTTTTCACATATCCGCATACCTTTTGTTAAAAAAGGATCCTTTCCGAATTTATATAATAGATCTCATTGATTCAATGATATTTTCGATAAAAAGTTCCTAATTCTAGCTTTGATCCACATATACGGTAAATAGGGCTTGAATAGTTTTGGTCTGATTTGTACATATTTTGGTCATTAAGTGGCAGACCT